AGTAGAGTTCCAGCAAATACTTTCAAATTGTTAATCACCCTTTGTGTGGTTTAGTGGAAATGTGCTCTAAGAAAAACGGTGTAGATAACACACAATGAAATTTCTAGTTATATTAGAAGTAATATTTGTTTATATTTTATAGAAGTTTACTTAAAAAGAAAAGACGTATTGGAGGGTGCTCTGAACTGCAGCGATGTGCGTGTAGAGCAGAAACACAAAACTGTCGACCAATATGTGTCGCTATATGTTGGATGTGCGGTAGAAGGTCGTGATGAGATCGTTTCCAAGCTTTTTAAGGAGTTTCGACGAAGATGGCAGAGTGCGAATCGAAAAAAGGATCAGTTTTTGAAGACCAATGAGCAATGGTTTGTTGTTATTGTTTCATGTTTTTTACGGTTGATTATTTTTTGCTTTTATTTAATTTCTTAGGTTAGAAGAGTTCGTCTTGCTTTGGTGAAGCAACATCATCTTCAACAATGCGGAATGTAAGTGGTCGTCCTTCAAAAGATTTTGAAGACGTTTGCGATCGAACCAAGCGGCGAAAAACAGAAGTGTTGCGTAAATCATTTACTCCGCAAGAACTGAAATTTGCTGCAGGAATGGCTTTGCAAGCAGAAGGAAATGCGGAATTGGCTTCGTTTCTAAAGAAAGGCACCTGCACGACAAGCATTCCGATTGAGCATGCATTGGCAATATATGTCGACGCAAAACTTTCGAAAAGAAGATACAATATCATTCGCGCACCCGTTAAAATTTTTTTATCCATCTCATGAAAAAATATGTTCTTCGAAAAATGAGTGCTTTCCATCACTTGAGCACTTTGAAATTACGGAGATTGTATGTGACATTCAATTACAAGCATTGCTGAACCACACTTGCTCTCGGTTGATTGTACTTGTTAAAGATAAATTTGAAAATCTAGTTCGTGAAGGTTTCAACGATTTCAGCCTTTTACTAAAATGGGGCTGTGATGGAAGTTCTGGTTTTAACGCATACAAGCAAAAATTTATGGATCCTAGCTGCTCCGACGCTCACATTTTTTTAACATCGGTGGTATCATTAAGATTAATTACCGACCGGAAAGTAGTTTGGGATAACCCTCGATCGTCTTCTACGCGATACTGTCGCCCTGTTTCATTGAAATTTGCAAAAGAAACTGTCGAGTTAACAAAACAAGAATTTGAGCGCATGAATGACGAAATTTCTAATTTACAACCATTCGAATTAGAAATTTCAGGCATCAAGGTGTTAATCACATTTGATCTTATGTTAACTATGATTGATGGAAAGACTGTTAACGCCATCACCAATACAAAATCTTCTCATAGATTCTACCTTTGCTATGCTACGAGTTTCAATTTTAACGACATTGAAGAAATGTTCAACAGAGCTATCATCTCGGATAATCTGGAGTACGGTATGTGTAGCTTACATTGCTGGATCAGAACATTTGAGTGTCTGTTACATATACCATACCGACTTAGCTTCCGAAAATGGATAAAAACTGCACATATGGAGGAGTACAACAACTTAGCTCGAATTCAAAAAAGTTTCTTGCAGCAACTTGGATTACACGTCGATAAGCCTCGTGCTAAATTTGGAAATAGCAACGATGGCAAGATGGCATTTTATAAGACTGACTTTCTTTGATTTGCACGCTAGGATTCTTCAATATTAATACCTTTTACCTGTTAATATTCTAATCGTATCGTTCTTATTATCTACAGGTAACACCGCGAGACGCTTCTTCAAAAATGCTTGGATTTCATCTCAAATCACTGGAATTGATCTTGATCTTATCATTCGATTGAGAACGATTTTGCAAGCCGTTTCATCTGGAGAATCCGTTGACCCAGAAAAATTCCACCAATATGCAAAAGAGACAGCCAAACGCTTTATGCTTCTTTATATGGATGGTATAATATGCCTACAACGCTCCATAAGTTGTTAAATAATAAATAACGCATTGCTTCCCATTGGTCGTATGTCCGAAGAAGCCCAGGAAGCAATGAATAAAGAAATTAGGCAGCTAAGAGAGTATCACGCGTGGAAAGGTTCACGCAAGCAAACAATAAAAGATATATGTTGTGGATTGCTTGTTGCATCCGATCCCATTGTTTCAAGTTATCGCCATGGGCAAACGGTAGTGGCAGATGAATTGCCTAAAGAGGTGCAAGATTTGTTAATAGTTAAAGATTGCGATGAATAAATGTTAGTTTGTTTAATAAATGTTTGTTTATAGAAATAAAAGTTAAATTTTAATAATTTTTTGGTGTCCCAAATTGATTACATAATTGACTGTTTAAACGCTACTCAAACTGTTTATCAAAACTCTCCAATCACTTTTTTCTGGAATGAAACCTCTCCAAAAATAAATGTCTTAACAAATAAAGGCTAAATCATTCTTATGTAACACTCACCTCCTTGTGGTCTTTTGTCCGTAGAAAAATTCTAAAATTTGTTAGGGCCGTGGTCATGACCCCCTCCCCATGACCGACAGCAACCTGAGTAATCGTTATCAGCGAAATCACAACATCAAATTTAGATTTTAATTTGGTCTCAGACTTTGCGCTGGGTAGCACCTCCTTTATCAAAAAGCAAATAAATCCGCACGCAAGAGAGCACGATGCGAACTCCTTTAGGAATGCTTCCTTCTTTTGAACGTCAGCTGTTCTTTCGAGATTTTAGTATTTTCTTCAAGTAAATATTGAAAATTTTAATCCGCTTGTACTAAACCAAAAGTCAATACCCACTAGAGGGATTCCATCCAGAATGAGCGGAAAAAACCTGAAATCGTGCTCGACCATCTTCGATTTGGATGATACTTTGCCCATATTTTCAGTATGATTGGAAGATTGCCGCAAAAGCTCAACGCAGATGTCGCCACTGCATGATGATGATAATGTTGACAGACTGCATATAAAATTCGTGAATCATAATTTTCATCAAGCCTGCGTGAAATCCTTCCAATATCACATTCGAATTGAAGAAGAAAACGTTTTTACGATCAGACTGATGTGCATCTTTGACTTTTCCAGGTGAACTTTCATAAGATATATTCATTTGATTTCACGGCTCTATCAATGCTGCATCGTAAATATGATGGTAAACAGAAGTAAATTGCTCAATTACTCAAAATAAAGATGATTTGTCATCTTGTTATCGCTTTGAAGACCATCTAGCACCATTTTATAGCATGGTGCGTGTTGAGTAAATCAAGTTCCGGTGCGTTTTCCGTCTATCTTTAAAAACTGTCGCATTAATGGCCCTTCGCTCATTTTCAACTTCTATTCAATTTTCATACTGCCATACTCTAACGGAACTTTCCACCTACCCTCTTCTAAAGATCATTCTCTAGCTAATAAATCATCACACTAAAGCTTCATGTTAGCATTTCAAACCAACTCTTTGCTGTTGTTTTGATGCTAATCAATTTTCCTCTGAATATATTCACATCGAGTTTTCTTTATCGATATCACACTTCGCACGATCTACCGCCGGCTCAATCACTCCCGGGACTCTCGTAACCATGATCTCGCACTCCGCCGGTCGTGGGTATCTTTTCCAAAGGCGTAAATTTTCTTTTGGCTTCAACTCGACTTTTTTCGCTCACTGTTGGAAACTTTCTGCCTCTTCCAGAAAAAAAAAGCTACTTCATCATCTACTCTCTCTCTCTCTCTCTCTCTCTCTCTCTCTCTCTCTCTCTCTCTCTCTCTCTCTCTCTCTCTCTCGTTGCTCTTCATTCCTCACTCTTACTTCTCCTTTCTTCTTTTTCGGTGATCCGTGCTGCCAACATTGAACACTCCCGCACAAACTTTACATACAAATCTAACCTAATAATCAAAAAACAAAACAACTAACTTTAACCTTAACTATCCTCCTTGAACATCCTGCCTTGAGCCGAACCATTGTTCACAAGTTGTTGGTAACACATTCAAGATTTGTCAATCACTCTATTTGTGATGTGAATACATTGGAATAAAAACAAATTGATCATTGGTGTGATGTAATAAAAGGAGCTCGTTTGCCTAGTGGAAAACGTTTTTGCTTACTGAGCAGAATATCATGGGTTCAATCTCAAGCTCCTTCGCGTGATATGATCGTTAGGATATCAATTCACCTTATCGTTTACCAAAACGAAACCTGCTGCAATCCCAACCCTCTTACCCAATATCCCAGTGATTCCTGGAGAAAGTGCAGAGGTGTTCTCGGTTTCCATCAAAACAAGTGTCACGTCAACACATTCCCACCCAATCCTTTCTTAACCTGTGTTTGGGCACGGCCGGCGCTGGTGTTGCCTAGATTTAGATGACCAGTTTTTACACACTGAGCATCTTCTATTGGTTCTCTGTGTAATTGCAGCTGATTTGGAAATAACAGAGTAGCAACGGTGGGCGGTCAATCATGCTCATGCTCATTCCCTGATAAATTTGTTGCAACAAAACATTACAAAACATACCTTATGAAAACTACAGCTCTTTCAAATAAATCAACTGAGTTCAAATTATTATAAGTAACAAAAATGAGTAATGAGTTTTTTAACTACCCATTCACGTACACATCAAAGCTCTGCGAGAAAACCAAATTCAATTGCAACCAATGGTTGATGAATCACTATTTATTGAAAAACATAAAAATAAAAACAATAAAGACTTAAGTGACGTTGAACTGCTCCAGATACCAATCACCTGGGGATGGCAAGTAAAATCTAATCTGACTCACAGTCGTTACCGTCGTACCCAATATCTTATCTTAACCGCACGAAATCAAAATTTGGGCACCAGTTAGGTTGAATCATACCCATCCATATCACAAATCGCTTTCAGTCGCTCTGATAACTCACTCATATCAAGTGTCAAAAACAGCACAAAAATCCCCAGCCAAGTAAACGTTCTACGATAAGACTCAAATACTGAGTTTCACAAGGCGATTTACGGTTAGGACTGATAGCAAGCGTCGATTAGTTTAGTTTTTGCATTCAAACCCAGCGGACGTTAAGCAGATATATCAAAATAATGGGTAAGTCCATTTGACTGTTTTGGCAGTTATGTTGAATTATAATGTAACAATGTCTACATGATCAATCTTCATCCCATCATTTTCACCTGGTGTGCCAGCTTCAGAAAAGACAAATCCCCCAACATACGATCAGGTTCACGGTCCCACATCCTCGGCATATCCTCATCCGGAGCAGTCCAATGCGCCGGCCTCATTCAACATCCCAACCCGTAAGCCCCACCCACTTCATCAAATTCTTCGTAGAGAAGCAGTCTGGCACTAAAATCATCTCCATTTCCTGACTCCTCTATTACAGAATCAACCACCGTCATCGTTACGAGTCCCCAGGTCGGTCCCGATCCAACCACCATGACGTGCCCATCCTGTCGGGCAACCATGGTCACCCGGTTGGAGTACGAAACCACTACCAAGACACACATCTGTGCCGCTTTACTGTGCCTGTTCATTTGCTGGCCCTGCGTTTGTATTCCCTACTGTTCGACATCGTGCCGTGATGCAAACCACTACTGCCCCAACTGTGGATCGTTCATCGGAACTTATCGAAAGTAAAAGCTCTCTGCCGTTAGTTGGGTGAGCTTTCCGACCACCGTTACCTCTTAGTATCGAGTATTAGTGACGGGAAAAGCTTGCCCCAAAAGAGAGTGGTTTCGTCAAAACGCTTAGTGAATTAGAGACCTGCCTACCCACGATTCGAGTGAGTAGGCCAATATCCAGTGTGATAGGGTGGCAGAGGGGGAGCCGATAGCGGTGGAACTGTTTTCGTTAATCTACTTTGGCCAGTTTTGTATGTCAGTCAGTGGTGGATTTTTAAGAGCGGGAGATGTTCAGTAGAAAACGTGCAGACTGATATAATTGAATGTGATCATCCCCAACATACATCGCCCCGTGGCGAGCAGAGTGAACGACGAACAATATAAAATAAACTCCTATTAGGTAATGCTAACAATGATGCCGAGACTGCCGAGCAAGTGTGAGAGAGATAGAGAGAAACCGAACATGGCTTGTGAAACGTTTGTTTTAGAAATATTTTATCGTGGCTAAAGTAGTTCAACCAAGCAACGGATTAGGTAAACGCAGAATAATGTAACGCAAACGATTGCACCGTGTAGTAGGGTAGGATCACTTCATTAGATAATTTTTTTTTTTGCTCATACACTTTAATGACGGGGATAAGCTGCAGTAATGTGCATTTCACTAGCATTAATGTAATGGAAATAAACCTTTCTTTAATTTCTACTATCTGGAAATCCTTTGCGCTAATATTGTGAAATCAATTTGGGTTTAAAAAAAATAAAGGGTTGTGTTCTAGACAGGCATTGTTGCTGACGGCAATGTAAACTTCGGTGCATTTTCGGATCTTCCGTTAGCAAACTCAAGTTTTGAGTGAGAATGCTTTTAGCTGTAAGTTTTATTTAAAGATTAGATTAATTTTAGAAAACTTAATATATAAACTTACAAATTTTAATCCACTTCACGTGTTGAAGTTCACTGTGTCAACAAACTGTTTTTAATGTGTTGTGCTATCTGTATATAAATTTTAATTTAATAATTGCTAGTATTTTAATTCATGTAAACTTACGAAAGAAAAGAATTCAATATATTTTACCACTAGCAAACACTTTTAAAATGCGAAAGAAAATAAGTACCTAATAGTTTTTAATCTGTCTTCCTTTTATTCTATTTGTTATCTGTTATCTTATAACTCTCCTTATCTGTCCTGTCACCTGTTCTGTCATCCATGATGTCAATTGTCCTGTCAAGCGTAGCGTTACGCCCAGTCAGCTGCCCTGCTGCAATTTGGCTCGCTTCAAGACCGGTATGCAACTGGCTGTCTCCAACATTCCCCGGCCCGTATTGCTGGAACTTCCTTCCAGCTGTACCGCTGCTTTGAACCTCAAGTACAGCCAGACTTGTTACTGGCCTCTGAAGCACTCTGCTACTAGTTTGGACGTCAGCGATGCGGATTCTGCCTCTGACGACCTTTCCGCGAATCCAGCTGTTCCGTATTCCACCATCCTCCAACATCACCAAATCTCCTGGCTGAATTGGTATAGAGTCGTCGAACCACTTGGTGCGTGTTCTGGTCCATCTGGCCCAGAAGAGGTCTAAAAAACTCTGCGCGTGGCCGAAGTTGGTTTTGAGAACAGCGCCAGTACCAACAGACGACTTGGTTGGCTGCACAACACCACTGGAGCTTAACATCAAAAAATGATTGGGGGTAAGCGCTCCGTCATCTTCCAAATCAAGTGGCACGTGCGTTAGCGGCCTAGAGTTCACGATGGCTTCCACCTCGACCAGACCGGTTCCAAAAGTCTCCTCGTCCGGATTCCTGCTGGTAGAGAGCGTGTCTAAACCTATTTTGACCGAACGGACCAATCGTTCCCACGAGCCACCCATGTGTGGGGCAGCTGGTGGATTCAAAATCCACTGAGTGTTGCAGTTGGTAAAGGTGTCAGCCAGTTTCTGGTTGATGCCTGCAATCTCCTGTTTTAACTCCTTCCTAGCGCCATGAAAATTGGTTCCTTGATCACTGAAGACCTGCTGCGGAGCACCTCTTCTTGCGATGAACCGTCGCACAGCCATTTTGCAGGATTCAGTTGACAGACTGCCTGCGACCTCTAAATGGATGGCTCTCACGGTTTGGGACACAAAGAGCGCTACCCATCTCTTCACACTACTACGACCGATCCGGATGTAGAAAGGTCCGCAATAGTCCACTCCGGTAAAGGAGAAAGGACGTACGTACGAAGACATCCTGGACTCTGGAAGGGGCTCCATTCTCGGAGCCCGTGGGGTAGTCTTGTAGACGATACACCAGTTACACTTTCGTATCTGTTTGCGCACTGCCGTGCGCAAGTTAGAAATGTGGAATTTTTGCCGAACCTCATTAACAATAGTCTCCACGTTGCAGTGGGCGTATTTACGGTGATACCAATCCAAAACGAGTCCAGTCACGTAATGGTTCCGTGGAAGCACTATTGGGAACCTAGCGTCATAGGAAGCGTAGTTGGCAGCACCAATTCGCCCTTCCTGTCTAATTACTCCCGTCTCATCGACGAAGGGTGATAATTTGTGAAGCGGGCTTGTTTTTTCCAACCTTGCTGCACTCGATTGTTGCTGCTGTCTTCCAAGCACGATGACTTCATCAGGATATGCCTTCATCTGCACGGCACGCCAAAGAAACTCCTCGGCATTCTGCAGCTCCCGTTGAGACAAAATGGGGTTGAGTTCGACAGGATCTCCGTTGATTTTGCTTCTGCAGCTATTCACACACCGCAGAAGGAATGCTGTGGCTCTCAATAATCTTTCCGACTTGGAATACCTGCTGTAGTTTATCAGAGGTTCAGGAATTTTCCGATGATGGGCATGTATCGGGCGTATCTCCTCAGCAGTGTCCTTCGTTGGCAGAATCCTTTTTGGCCACGCCGACTTCTCCTGGTACAAAAACTCAGGTCCGACAAACCACCTACAACCGCATGGAAGCTGGGTTCTTTCACCCACTTCGTTGCTTCATTCGCTACGTTAAGGCGCGTTGGCACCCAACGCCATTCCTCTATATTGGTCACATCTAGGATTTCGCTGATTCTGACCGCCACAAACTGACGGTATTTGCGCTGGTCCGACTGTATCCACGATAACACCGTGCTTGAATCGCTCCAGATTACTCTACGACGAATCGGCAGCGTGTTGTTTTCCTCAATTGACTTCACCAATCTGCTTCATATGACCGCTGCCTGCAGTTCCAACCGCGGGATTGACAGTGGTTTTAGTGGAGCGACCTTCGATTTTGCAGATACAAGTGCACAGCGGACCTGACCACGATCGATGATGCGAAAGTAAGCAACGCAGGCGTACGCTTCCTCACTTGCATCAACAAACACATGCTATTCAAGTGTGTCCAAGCTGTTCAGTGAATAGTTTGGGAAGTAGCAGCTAGGGATAGTCACTTGATCTAGCTCTTTCAGTACTTCCACCCAGTGACGCCATCGCACAGTGGTTCCCCTTAGAACAAAAGTTGGCCAAAACCTCAAAATTGTTGCTAATAGGCAAAAAAAAAAAACAGTTGAAATAGATGTTTTTTAGCTGTACAAAGAAAACTTGACAATCAAGACGTCACAAAAAGGAGTATAGTAGAACCAAAACCAATGCACATTGGGCCCAGCCGCATTTACCTAGGAAGACAAAAATGTTCGCGCCCAAACTGTCAGTTTTAGGTATATGGTTTCTTAGGGAAAGTTGCTTCATATTTTTTGTTCAATCTTTTTATGTTCGTAAAATTAGGGTGTTTGTCTCTTGTGACAATAATCCTCCCTATTGCCCTGCCCTAGAATGGGGGGTTTGACAATGGTTTGTCAAGTTTCATTTTGCATTTGTTTTTGTTTTTATCTAAGTTATTTATATAAGAAATATAATATTTCCATATAATTGCAATTTTAGGTTTGCTTTTGTAATTGCACGATAAATAGTTTACGTCAATTGAAATATTGAGTTGTATAAACTTGGCGAATCATACCTCTAACATAGTAGTAGTTAAAGTGTCGCATGATTGTACAACCACTACCTGCAACTAGTGTTGGAGATACTGGCAGGGTTGACTACGGATCAAAACGATCATAACTCTAACACTAAAATTAACCCGAAACTAACGCTCATTCATTGCATTTTTAGTTATAAAGTAGTTCTGTTTTACTAGTAATTGATCTATGCTTCATTCTATTGTTTTTATACTTTTTCAATAATCTGCCTACGTTGGTTTTTCTTTGTTTTCCTTTTTCTTATTCTCTTTTTATTGTTCTGCTCTTCTTTTGTTTTGTTTTTTTAGATATAACTAATACTAATACCTCTTTGTTTCCTCTCTAATGTTTCGTCTCTAATGTGTCTGCTATATCCCACCATCACGACGAGGGATGAGCTACCCTACATAGTACACGCCTATATGGGCGCCCAAAATAGTATGCCGCAAGTAAGTACCCGAGCAAAGCTGAAGATCAAATTGAAATCAAAATTTGCTGTTATGATGTAACTTATTTTGAATACTCCAGTTGATCTCATTTTGGTTGACTTAACGGTTAACACAGCAAAAATGAGAGCAAAATTTTATACTGTTGAAGCAAACGGAAAACTTATCCTGCTTTCAATGAAATCAATTTGTTTACTGATTTTGCATTCATAATGTTCAACTGAATACGGGCCTGGAGTAAATGGTTACCATTCATGTTTCTCAAGCTGAAAGACTTGGGCTCCAATCTCACCCCGGGCAAGTCACGAATGACCTAAAATGTGTTAAACAAATAAATAATCATAAGTTTAACGACAGATGAATTTCAATTAAATTTTAAACAAGACGAAAACAGCAGAACTTCAAGTTAAGTTGCTTTCATTTAAAAAGTTTTGACTGCATAATGCAAGCACAATATGATATCAGACTTATGTCGCAACATTTGAAATCAAAATGAGTTTTCATTATGATAGCAACTGCACACTTTAATATCGATTTGCTTTCATTTTGTTAACCGACTTTGCTCGGGTATATCACCAAAACAACTCAAGATCCAGAAATAAAAACCGATGGCGCTGCAGAATAATGAGGTAACTTCTACAATGTACTGTAATTTGTACAATAATACTCATATTACTTATATTGCTTTGAACAATCGTCACGTCGGTTATAGCTTGATATGATTGCCTGAACAATGCGTAAAGAGCAAATCGAAACATTGAACGTCGCGTGATAGTGGAATTTAATCAAGGCCTAAATACTTTTTCGTAGCCTTTTGTTTTCGGATTTGAAAGATCGTCGGTTGCAGTGGCTTCCTTACTGAGCAGAAAAACGCGGTCCCAGGTCCTTTCATATTAAAAATGTATGGTAAGGTCGCTTTTTTATCGTGTATTTTGCTAAACCTTTCGTTGTCGTCGGTGCCAGGTTTGAATAGTTATAACAACTTGAGTAACGGTATGATATGATATGAGGGGCTCGGTGGCCTTAGAGCAACCGTTTTTGCTTACTGAGCAGAACATCCTGAGTCTAATCTCAAGCTCATTCACATCAAGATTCGTAAATCGTTTTTTTTTTTGTGTTAATATGACTACATGGTAATAACAGCAACTCGATGATTAAAAAGGAGCAGAAGACCGTGGGTTCAATCCCAAGCTCCTTCGCGTTATACGATCGTTAGGGCATCAATTCAGCTTATCGTTTACCAAAACAAGCCCTGCTGCAAACCCAACCCTCTTACCCAACATCCCAGTGATTCCTCGTGGAAGTGCAGAGGACTCCTCGGCTTCCATCAAAGCGAGTGTCACGTCAACACATTCCTACCCATTCCTTTCTTGACCTGCGTTCAGGCGCGGCTGGCGCTGGTATTGCCTAATTCGAAATCACCAGTTTTTACACATTGAGGATGATTGATCGTCCCAAGCATCGTCTATTGGTTCTCTGTGTAATTACAGCTGGTCTGGCAATAACAGAGTAGCAACCGTGGGCGGTCAATTATGCTCATGCTCATGCTCATTGTTTCGGTTATGGTTCAATATTGGTTCAAGTATTTTTCCTGGAATGTAATAAATTATGAACATTCAAATGTGGCAAGCTGTTATATATTTTGGAGTAGTACCCCAGTAAAGTACACAAACACATACATGTTGTGCGATAAAACAACTACCAAAAAATACGTCGTTTCAGTAGCTCCATCATTAGTTTTAAATTAGGTCTTTGAAGCAGAGAAGAGAGTGAATGTTGCATTTTATGATAACGCAACAGGCAGTTGTTTTTCTTATCAGAAGACGGTACTTTCAATATTGAACAAAATGTTGGTTCATATGCCAGCAAAGTATAACGATCATACGGGGTTTAAGCACCTATTTGTTCTCCAATTTGGAGGACAACTTTAACATAAAATTATCATGCATCATCATTATGTAGTTTACAGCGTGTTGGTAGAATGATGCAAAATACAAAATGTATGGTAAGATCGCTTGTTTATCGTTTATTTTGTAAAACTTTCCGTTGTCGTCGGTGCCGGGTTTGAATACTTATAAAAATTTGAGTAACGCTATAATGTGAAATAAGGGGCTCGGTAGTCTTAGAGCAACCGGTTTTGCTTACTGAGCAGACCATCATGAGTCTAATCTCAAGCCCATCCACATTCAAGATTCGTCAATCGTTTTTTTTTTTTTTGTTAACATGACTACATGGTAATAACAGCAACTCGATGATTAAAAAGGAGCTCGTCTGCCTAGTGGCAAACGTTTTTGCTTGCTGAGCAGAAGACTGTGGGTTCAATCCCAAGCTCCTTCGCGTTATATGATTGTTAGGACATCAATTCAGCTTATCGTTTACCAAGACGAACCCTGCTGCAAACCCAACCCTATTACCCAATATCCCAGTGATTCCTCGTGGAAGTGCAGAGGTGTTCTCGGCTTCCATCAAAGCGAGTGTCACGTCAACACATTCCTACCCCTTCCTTTCTTGACCTGTGTTCGGGCGCGGCCGGCGCTGGTATTGTCTAATTTAAGATCACCAGTTTTTACGCATTGAGGATGATTACTAGTCCCAAGCATCGTCTATTGGTTCTCTGTGTAATTACAGCTGGTCTGGCAATAACAGTAGCAACCGTGGGCGGTCAATCATGCTCAAGCTCATCAATTGTTGAATTTCTAGGTCAGAGCAAAAGCTCGTATGAGTCATGCGGCAAATTGCGACCTCAAACGAATAAAACTTATCATGTGACACCTCAAATCACATTGGCATTAAAAAAAAAAGTTTCCCAGGATCCAGTCGATTTCCGGAAACCCCTTGAAAAGTAGCCAGTTTTAGACTTGGATATGCGATGGTTCAAATCACATGAGAATTCATCTATACTTCCTCTATGCTCTGTTTAAGAAAGTTGTGACTAGGAAAGTAAACAGAAAATTTTGTTGCTGCGCGCGAAAGAAAATTTAAACAAACCGAAGCACACCTGACATCCAATGCAGGAAACAACTAGGTCCAACCATGATACTAATATAAATTCGGAATTTCGCCAAATATACACACTTTTTAATAAAATTTATGCAATAATAGTCTGCTAGCATTCAGACTTCTTGAACTAAATAAGCGCCGGTAAAAAAAATGTCCAACATGATTCATTTTTGGAAAGGTTCAACCTAAATTCATAACTCCAAAGGTTGTTACAAATTAATTTGAATTTCCTACATCGAGTTACCTTCACTTTCTCCAGCGTCCCAACCAGTAAATGGTGACGCATTACCTTTAACTTCTTTCATGTTTGCTTGATAACAGTGAACTTGCTCTGCAGCGGTCTTTGGAGAACCGTCAGCCTCACGATCCTTTGCATCCAACTGCCAGTAAAACACTTGACTTTAAATGATCTTTATTTCTTGTATTTGTAATGTTTACATGTATGAGTTATCAAGCGACACAGATGCGTCTTTTTAACGTTAGTTCTTTTGAGATTTCAATTAGGGGAAATGTCTCTAATGTTGGCCTATGGATCTAAGATTGGGCCCAACGCTAAAAATATGCTATTTAACAATTTTATCTAGATGAACGCGTTATTGGGACGTTACTAATGGATATTTTTGGTTGCTATTGAAAATTTAGTCGATTGCTGAATTTATGTATGGGCCCAAATTAGGGACACTTAGGCCGACATTACCTGCATTTCCCCTATTATTAATAACAATTCTTAGTCCTATCAGGCCTGTTTTAGAGAATGACCACCTTGGTGGGATTGGTTTGTTTTAAATTTGAAAAAGGAGACTACTCAAAACTACTATTTACAACTATAATTCACCTACAACTACTATATACACCTAATCTACTATATACAAATTGCTTACAAATTACATTTTTGTGCAAATTTAGTCTTAATTTCGTTAATTCTGGAATCTATTTTGGCAATGCCTGCCTCTTCGTGTAAATTTGTTATTCTAGTGTCGAAAGGACGATCAAGTACCATCCTCTGCATTCTATTCTGAGCGACCTGGAAGTTGTTCCTGTGAGTCTGTGCACATGATTCCCACACCGGAGCTGCGTAGAAAGATCGCAGGTGCTATGATTTGTTTGTAGACAGCCAGTTTGTTCACCCTTGAGAGGCGGGATATGCGACAAATCAGCGGATACAGACACCTAACCTAGGCAGAACACTTGACTACAGTTTTCTCTGCATGCGAACGGAAGAGGAGCTTTTCATCGAACAACATCCCGAGATAGGTTACTTCGGCAGACCACTCAACCCTTGTGCCATCCATGATTACAGTACAAGATGGAGCCGGTTTCAGTTTGGGCGATTGCCGATGGAGGAACATGATCGCTTGTGTTTTGGAGGCATTTATTTTGATTTTCCACGTGGTGGCATAATCAGCAAAGGCGTTAAGGAATCGTTGAAGTTTGTTCGTTATTTCGCGAGGCATCCTTCCTTTGACGGCTATTGCGGTATCATCTGCGAACAGGAAAAACTCGCAACCGTCTCCGAGGTGCGGAATGTCGGAAGTATAAATAGACTGCCTTGCGGGACTCCTGCTGGGATGGAAGACGTGTCTGAAAGACAACCATTCAGCGATACCTTAAACGACCTTTTCTGGAGGTAGTTACGGGTTATTTTAACCAGATGTAATGGGAAGTTGAAGTTACAAAGCTTGTACACAAGTTCGTCATGCCAAACATTGTCAAACGCCTTCTCAACGTCTGACAAGGCCATGGCTGTGGACTTGGATACAGCTTTGTTACTTCGGATGTTATTCATCACCCTGATGATTGGTGGAGTGCCCCTTTCTGAATCCAAACTGTTCCGGAAGGAGAATGTTGTTTTCCTCGACAAACTTGAGCAAACGATTGAGAATGAGTTTCTCGAACAATTTGCTCAGCGCTGAAAGGAGGCTGATTGGTCTGTAGCTTGAAGACAATGTTGGATCCTTACCGGGTTTGCGGATTGGTATGATTTTTGCTGCTTTCATCTGTTGAAGATAACGGTTCGAAGAGACTGCACTTTCATGCTGAGTCTCTTCAAGATCAAGTTGAATATACCGTCAAACCCGGGAGCCTTCATGTTCTTGGTGCATTTCAGCGCTGAGCAAATCTGTTGTACTGTAATCATATCCGCCGGAGGCACGACACAAGGGGAGGCATCTAGGTTTTGAACGCATTGCGCAACCTGATCATCCAGCGGACTTTATACCCCGTTCACATTACAGCCTATATCACGTTATATAGGCTGTCTTGCAATGAACACTCATACAAAGGATTTCCAGTGAAAACTAGATGTATGAGTGCTCATTGCAAGACAGCGTATATCACGTGATATACGCTGTAATGTGAACGGGGTATTAGATAGTCGTGCCAAGCAAATGCGATGAAGCGACGTGCTTGCCGATCGCATTTGCTATCTCCTGTGGGGTGATTAAAAGCCGATTGTCATCATTTTCGACTCTGAGAGGTGGAACGGGTTTGGGATGAGTTTTCAGGACCTTGGCTACCTTCCAGAATGGTCTGGAGCGGTCGTCCAGATTCTGGACAACACGCCCGAAACTTTCATTTCGGATTGAGTCCATTCTGGAAGCAATCTGCCTGTTCAGATCGGCCATTTCACGTTTTTTGCCCCCCTCTGAAACTGGCGTCTACGCACATTTCTCAATCGAATCAATAATTGGGTATGGGAATCAATAGCAACAAACTTACCCCTCACAGGAACTTGTCGAATGCATGTCTCGTCAGCCACGGATATGGCCTGCTGGAGTCCTTCCAGCGCCCGGTCAATGTCATGTACGGTGTCGAGCGGTGGATTTCAAACGATGTTGCTCTCCACCATTCGTCCGTACTGCACCCAGTTGACATGGTGGTAGTCTTTACGCAGGCAGCTTCTAGCAGGAACCACGTTGACACCGACTTCAGTCACCACCGGTTCGTGGTCGGAGCTGAGATCGTTGTGCGCCTCCGGCTTGGATAGTCAGATGTTTGACCGAAAAAAGTCCAGGGTGGAGGGATTTCCCGCCGGAGAGATGAAAGTGGGTTCGTCAGGAAATTGCACAGTGTACAGTCCATGTTGTGCGTGGTCGAACAATAGACATCCGTTCCGGTTCCTCTGGTAGTTCCACTAAGCTTCATGGCGGGCGTTCAGGTCACCCCCAACGATGAATTGAGAGCTAGTACGGGTGATGGCGGTCAGGTCCTTTTTGAATTGGATTCCTAGTCCATTGCTTGCGGTACACTGGCGTGGGCAGTAAACAGTGATAAACCGGACGTTTCCAGTTGGTGATTCCACCTCCACACTAACGGCCTCGATGATAGAAGTGCGGATGTGGGGGCAGAGTGCAAAACTTGATTCCCTTTCTGACGATGACCGCTACATCACCCCCCTCAAACCGGATAATGTTGTGGTCAAGCAACCAGAAGCTGTCACCGGACTTTAGGTGGGTCTCGGTTAGAAGAACCACGTCAATGCTATGCTTGCGGAGGAAGTCGGCAAGCTCAATATGTTTTGCTCTTACAGAGCAAGCGTTCCAGGTAGCGATGGTTAGCGGTTTAGGCACCATACTGGATGATGAACTTACCGAGCACTTAGATATGTTCGGTCTTGTTGCGGCACTTACGTAGAGCACCGGTCATATTGATGAAAATCTCCATCAATTCATCTGCTGTAAACAGATCGGGATTATTTGGTTGAGCTGTTTGTTGTCTCCAGAATCCAGGGGGGGATGGAGAGCTTTGTCCAGCAGAAGATCCAGACGTTTCTTGAGGGGGGGGGGGGGTTCGCACCGTTGGATTCGCTTGTCCATGAAGAGGCGGAAAGTCCTCCGCTTGAAAGCCGGGACCTTATCCTTCCTTCGTGTTGGTTGATTTTTGGTGCACGCCTGATTTCGGATGCGCTTGAAATCCTCTCGTTTAGGGCACTGCTTGTTGGATTCTTGGTGAGCACCACCACAGTTGGCGCATTTTAACGCCACGGCTCCATCCGCAGGGCAGTCGGAAATGGCGTGGTCTTGAGCGCAATTGCCACAGCGTGGCTTAATGTTGCAGTTGCGGGTGCCGTGTCCAAAGTTCAGACACCGTTGGCACTGAGTCACATCGCGATGGCCGCCACGGTATGGCTCCCAACGGACGATGATGGTATTGATGGATCGGATGGCTTTCAGCGCGTTGAGCGTCACCGTTCCCTTCTCGAAGTGTACCAGAAAAGGCTATCCGGATACGCCTTCACATTTTCGTCCTTCCTTGTCATCCGATAGACGGCACTTGGGGCCAGCTTGTACCGGTTTCTGATTTCAGCTTCGATAAACTTTGGGTCGAAGTTTGGTAGGCCCCTAATGACGACCTTGAATGGCTTCTCACCGGGAATATCGTGGGTGAAGAATTCCACCTTGGAAGTCCTCAGGTGGGCGACGACCAAGTCATACTCCGCTTTGGTACGAAGCACCACCTTGGTGCCGACTCTGCCCAACTTGTATTCGGATTTAACGCCCAGCGTCGTTAGATCTGCGATGAGCTCATAAAGATGGGCATTTTTCACTACCAATGGAGGTAGCTTCACTTTTGCCGCACTCGGGGCGGCAGAATTTTCGTTGCCGATGGCGTCGCCGAAATCACCGATGCCGCTGGCGTTCGTTGCAGTGACATCGGACTGGCCTCGATTCTTCTTTCTCTTCTTGCTGCGTTTTTCCAATACAGCTGGCTGGATATTCCCATCTATGGGGAGAACAGCATACCTGTTCGAGGTAGGCATACCGGAGCTTCCTTCACCGAAGTTCTGGACCTTCGTCGGGCTTCGCGACCGATGCTTCCTCATTTCGGGGCACAAACACACGCACGACAAACCACCAAAGAGAGAGCGCGAACACTATCGCCACGAACTTTTCAAACAACTCGAGAGAGCGAGCTAACACCGAACTGAACTGCTTGACGATCAAGCAGAGAATGATGAATGAGTTGAGGCACATTAGCAGCACTGTTTTATAACTTTTCTGATTCAAGCAGTACGATGTGCAACCAAATTGTACTTGATTATGAGGACTGGGTTTGGGGAGAACGTTTATTTCATGAATACAGTGATAAAATTATCACTTTTTTTTGTCCATTTTTAAAACAGTTTTTTATGAAAAATAAAAAAAATATTTCAACAGCTTACGAAAAGTATTTCTTATCGATTGGTGTATTTGGATTTTAATTTTATCTATAAATGACAAAGCTTATAGCGTTCAAAAAATTACACCTTTTCGTGACGGTCGCACTTTTAGATTTTCGATTTACCCCCAGTACCTTCCCGTAAGACGTAGTCTACGTCAAAAAAGATGGATTGAAACTGCAAACAGGTTCCACGAAAAGTGGAATTTCCTAAATTGTCTTGGGGAAATTGATGGCAAGCACATTGCTATCAGGTGCCCTCCAAACACTGGAAGTCTATTTTTCAATTATAAGGTATTGTGGTATTATGTCTAGCGTTCAGTATCATATGGACTTAACTGCGATGATCGATTGTCTTCATAGATTTTCTTTTTTTGCTAATAACTCAACTGGATTCACATTTCTCGGTGCATGCAATTGCTTTTGCTAGCTAATACAACGTTTCCTTACACTTTAGTGTAATAATTTCGGAAAATTTGTTCACTGAACTGTGGCAATGCAAAGAGAAAATCGATGAAGATAATCGATCATCGCAGTTAGGTCCTTATGATTCTGAACGCTAGATGTATTCGTTAATGCAATCCAAACGTAATTTCAGATGAACATTCCTGGAGAAATTCAGTCATTGCATGTACCTGATGAGTTTCCAAGATTCGATGGACAAATTATACTGCTCATCACTTTTGGATGTAGGTACCTAAAAATGATATAAGATTAGTGGTGGATCTCAGAGGCCCAAATCAAGCCATCATCTGAAGTCCACGAGGTGTTTTCTATGGAGATGCACATCTTGTGAGTAGCGGTTGGACATAAGTCCACTCTTCACGCGAATGAAGTCACGACTTAAGCCCAAGCTTTTAAACCACGCTCTCGAAAAAACATTAGGAATAATTGAATATAACAACTGTCCGAGATTTCCATTGTCCCAATCGGTTGGCCAACTCGCAAGGGTACTCTGACTGGTCACTTTTACTGATGTTCCGGATCTTCTGGAGGACGGTCCCATAGCCATCCGGGTTCATTTTTATGCCACGATCTCAAATTCATTCTTAAATCACAGTTCTTAGAGTTTAAAAAAATGCGGAGGTCTAGGATTAGTTTCGTGGATTGACCACTCATTCGGAGGACCGTTCCGCTATCTCCAGAATCCATATTAAGGAACCATGACTGTATTCTGACTAATTATGAACATTTATGTTCATTAATCAAAATTATAGATCTGAGGCCACTTGCAAAACCCATAAACCTTAAAAAACGTGTAACGACTCTTTTCACTTAAAAAAAGGAATTGAGCCTACATTCAATAACCCTAGGGATTCCAGTGGTACCACCTTTTTTTGAAATTCATCAAGAAATGGCTTAGATATGGTATTGCAAACTTGCCGTTACACGTTTTTCGAACTTAACTCTTTCATTTTTTGCTCTTTCATAGAGATTTCCATCTTTTAAACGCATAACTTACTTAAGTTCGCCAACTTATAAGAATGAGAAAATGAGTGCATTCACTCATCTTTTGCATCCTGGTTATGCCCATGAATAACCCGGTTAGGCATTTCCCAGTTTCTTGAGCTAAAATTTAAGGATTTTCTTTCTGAACAAACGAAGTCTTTTCTTATTGTAATAGAAGTACAAACACACACACACACACATATATATGTTTATTTAATCAACCTCAAAATTTTTTGATTTTTTGATCTCTAATGGTTTTTCCGCGATCTTAATTCTAGTTACATATCCTGCCTGCCACATGAATATTTATGTTTGTCAATAACCCGGATGATCTTATATTAGCTTAAAATTAGTCGAATATCTACTGTTCGCTCCATTAATCGAGTAAATTTCAGACATCACTAATTCTGACGATGTTAACCCTCGAGAGGCATCGAAGCACTATAACATCAAAAATCGTACAATAATAAATAAAAAAAGAACCAATAAAACCTAAAAAAATGGCTTCTTGGTTGGAAAATTTCTAAGGTTTTCCCGGCACATTTTAATTTTTAGTGCTGATTTTTAGTTTTCTATCGCTTATTCAAGATTTTTATTTGGAAATGAATCGATTATTATTGAATGATTCAAGGTGTTTATTGCTCAAACAAATATTTTCTATTGCTATTTTTAAATTTTCTGTTGCCACTTTTTCAATTTATTGCTGCTAGTTTTCCGTCGATCTACCGTCAATCTCCGTCGATTACTGACGCCAGGGAGGCAACTCTCACCTGGACCCTATCTATCGACCGATCAAGTCACTGAACGGGGACCAATGGTTTTACTTCCCTGATCAGAGATTTTATGCCTCAGAAAATTCCAATGGAGCCGACTAGGATTGAACCCAGGCCCTTTGAAGTGAGACCGGCGCCGCTATCCAAGAAAAACTAATTTCAATCTTTCACTTTTCAAAATTCGGTCTAATTACCCATTCAGCCTAATGGCCTATATAAATTCACATGAACGTAACAATGAGCTTTTATTCGAGATAAAACGGCGATTGACGTGTTTGTGTACAAATGCAATTACGCCCAAATCTCAAATCACTCCGGAATATCTTCATTAGGGTGCCAATTACTGTGAAAAATGTGTATTTCCCCGAAATAATTTGGGCTCAATCGGACGTGATTTATGTCGGCGCTAGATCGGTAAAGTTGGAATTTTTTGAAAATGAAGAAATTTCCCCATTTCGGAGATCAATTAGGGTGGGTGAGCCAGTGATAGTGGAACAAAGCGATTTTATTTATTATAAAATAAATATATGTTCTACATACTATTTTTATACGTCAATCTATAGCTTTCAATCTCCAGCTTGCTAGAAAAATATTACATTGTGAATAAATTGTATGTTTTTTTTGCAAATGCATTCTCCATTAATAGGAACACTGTTCCAGTTGTTGTGGTAGTTGCTAACTTTGGTTTCTATAATAGTGGAATGTATTGGTTTCTTATGGGTTGGAACACTACCACAACTATAGGTGCAAAGGAGTCAAAATATTGAGGAACATTAATTATAAAGAGAGAGAGAGAGAGAGAGAGAGAGAGAGAGAAGGATTAGTAATTTCCATTTAATTCCAGTACCTTATCTGCATTTCGTCTAAATTGTACAATACACTGAAAAAGTCTGCACGTTGTAGACGAAACACGCGTATCTGTCAAGGGTAAGCAAATAAGGTAGTGGAATGAAATAGAAATTACTAATCCTTCCCTATCTCTCTCTTTCTACAGGTATTCCACTAAGAGGCCCACGTTCATCAGCAAAATCAATTGTTTTCCGTCAATTTTAGGCTAATTTTGAGATTGAAATATGCAAATCTGCTTTATTTTAGGAGATCTGCCGGTGAAAAATAAAATTTTCCGGTTTTCCATCATTGATCCACCATAACCATCCAACCACAACTAAAGGTACACCACTATTACTGGAACGCACCTATCCTATTATTTTTTGACACCAAATGACATTAAAATACATGAAACGTCCAAAATCTAGTGTTACCTCGAAAACAAAAGAACGACTTTCTAGGAATTGCAATTGTATATATTTTTAAACCATCACCAGCATCTTATACGTGATGCTTCTTTCTTCTTCTTATTCGCATTTCAAGCTTATTGCTTAGTGCATATTAGCTTATTGCGTGCTCTCAACTTAGTGTTCTAAATGCACTTCCACAGTTATTAATTGAGAGCTTTCGATGCCAATGCTAATGCATGAATTTGTATATTGTGTGGCAAGCACAATGATACTCTATGCCCAGGGAAGTCGAGAAAATTTCCAACCCGAAAGATTCCCTCGACCGGACCGGGAATCGAACCCGCCGCCTCCGGCTTGGTAATACCGTGCCTTTACTGACTAGGCTATGAGGCCCGTGATGCTTTACTAGGGTGTTTTTTTTTTGTAGCATCTTTTGCGAACAGTGTTTTTTTTTTTTTAATTTAAGTTCAATGAAAATATTCAATTCGTTTCAAATTGGATATTTCGATGTGCAGTTATCCTAGATAAAACAGGCATCCAGCTAGAAGTTATGTTGTGCGGCCTGGCGTAAGAAAACATGGATTTGTTAGTAAATTCGACGCTTTTGGACAATGCTGGACATTTACCAGTTTTTCAATAGTTTATTGTTGAAAATCAACATTCGTAAGCATCGATGCGTAGCCATATTTCTGACCGATTTATGATAAAATTATTGACATTGGACCAGGAGCAGCTGAGTTATTAAGGTTCAAAATCTTTCTTATTTTGTTACTTGTTCCATTTTCGGTTTTCACAAAGTGTACCCCAAAGTGTACCGACGTAGTCCTACGTAAAAAAAAAACCAAAAACATTATGGAACGTATGCATAGGGGAGAGCGCTACTTCGTCGTAATCGCTCATTTCCGTTCTATCGATCAGAAAATATCAATAATATCAATGATTTCACCGTGCACAAATCAATAGGGTAACTGATGATGGTTGGACCTATTTAGGCCGGTTTCACACGACGTCAACATTCATGTCTTATTTTTTTTATGAATTCAACATATAATTATGAAAAATGCATGATTAGGGGAGAGATCTACCTTTCTTGTTTCTAATAATAACATAAAAAGTTAAATATTATGAACAAATGATTTTATAAAACGTTTTAATTCAGCAAAGAATTATGATGTTAGTTGGACCTATACTGATCTTGGTTGGAC